ATGTTTGAACAGTCCTGACCGAGAGGAGTTCTTCCTACACTGAGCAGGTTTCTGTCCAGGGGTCTCAGGATCAGAGAGAGGAGTCATGATGAGACACTGGCCTCCGAGTGTCAGAGAGAGATGTAGAGGAGGTTTATGGGTTCTTTCATCTTCCTGGTGTCTGACTGTAATCTTCTGTGAGACCAGGTTTCCCTCAGACAACCTGGGGCTTCCCCAAAATGCTCTCTTCTTCTCCAGCTGGCTCCAGGGGGCTCTGCTCCTGCCCCCAGAGGCCCCTGCCTAGCCAAGCCAAGTACTGACAATGGCTGTGAGGATTTAGTGAGAGAACATGTCAAATACATAGCCCGCTTCCTTGGTGCAGAGAAGGTGCTGGGTGCAATGAGGTAATCAGCTGTGAGACAGAGTCATCTTAATCCAGAGCACGGGGGTGGGGGTGCTGGTCCAGGAAGGAGACCCTTGACTTGAGCCCGAAGAAGTGGGTAGGAGTCAACCAGATGGAGAGAGGGAAAGGGGATTTCCAGAATCCCCACCAGTACCAATTCCCCAGGCCATTTCTTCTCCATAGTGATCATACCTAGCTCCTGCCTGACACCCCTTCCCCATGTCTAGTGTGATCTGCCTCCTTATTTAAAAGGTAGTGCCCAAGAGAGAGTCTCCAGAGAGAACATAGCACAGTGTACAGGCATGTGAAGATTAGAGCCTGGATTAGTCTGGATTCAAATCCAGATCCCATACTTCACAGCTGTGTGACCTTGGATAAATTACTTAACCTCGATATGCTTCAGTTTCCTCATCTATAGACAAGGAGGATAGTAACGGGACCTACTTTGTAGATAAAGTGGGAGAATACCTGGGAAGAGTTTAGACATGGTGAGGGCTCAAGAAATGTGAGCGTCTGTTATCATGGTTGGGGCCTGACACTGTACTGGCCTCAGCTTGTGTTCCACCAAGCAAACCCCGACAGGTCTGCCATGGTTCACAAAGCCTGCTCTAGTCCACAACTCAGGTGGCCCTATTTTACAGAGAAGGTAATGCAGGCAACTCAGTGGCCAAATGACATATCTCAGACCCTATAGAGACTGTCCAGGGCAAAACACAGCAGGAAGTCCGGGGTCTGGCTAAGGATAGAGGCAGCTGCCAAGTGAGGGTGTGGTGGGAACTTAGGGTTGGGAGCAGGAAGCAGCAGAGACAGGATGGGTTGAGGGGTGGGGGAGTCAGTTTCCAGTAGGAAGAGGGAGAGGAAACCGAGCCGTCTCCTTCTGGGCAGTGGAAGATCGGGCCACGGACACCTGGCTGTCTCATTGGGTCCCCTCTCTGCTCTGCAGAAAATGGCTGCAGAAGAAAAGCCATTTGCTGAGTCACCCAGTCCTGGAGCTTCCTGTAGAGCTGAGTCGGCAGTCTTCACTCAGTTCTATTCCCTGGCCCAGCAGCTCCTGGGAGTCTCAGCTTTGGCTCTGGCCTGGCCACCTCCTGACTGTGTAGCCTTAGGCAGGTTGCTTCACCTCTTAGACTCCTAAACTTTCCAATGGCAGTTGCTATCATCAGAATACTGCCTCTAGGAAGCCAGGGACTTTGATGGCCAGTTGGCTGTGTATCCTAGAGCCTACAAGTAAGTGAATGAATGAGTGAGTGAGTGAGTGAATGAGTGCCAGACGTGGTCTGAGGGCAGTGGTGGAGGCCAGATGAGCTAATAGGCAGCAAAGGCCAACTTGGTCTGTGTTTGATCTGTGAATACACTGGTGGCTGGACCCCTCCTTCAGGATGCGTATTCTCCCTAACTGAACCCAAACTCATCGCCTGCCCTCCCACCCCTCCTTCTGTCACACATTCCTAGCTCCAGTAACATCACCCCTGAACACCCGCTAGGAGTCCCCTCAGCATCACCACCTTCATCTCCTGTCCATCTCCTGCTACCTCTCCCTCATAAATAACTCTCAACTCCAACACTCTTTCCATCTGAACTCCATCACTTTAGCCAGATCACATCTTCTCTCCCCTCTTACCTACTGGTCTGTCTCCAGCCACACCCTCCTACCACCCACATCATTCCATTCCTTCTGCTGTAGTTTTTCTTTTCCAGGGATCGTCGTTGTCCTCAGGACAGAGTCCAAATTCCTCAACAGGGCCTGCATGGCCCTTGGAATCTGGACCCCTGCCTCCTCCCTCTCCATACTACCCTCTTCCTGCTATACAACATTCCCCTTATGGCGCAGGAACTGCCATATTCTTTCCATGCCCTGTGCCTTTGCACATTCCATTCTTTTGGCCTGGAATGTACAAGGGCCTCCTTGTCTGCATGATAAACATCTGTTTCTCAAATCTCAAGAACATCCAGGGAAACCGGTCCTAACCACCCCAGAATTGACAATTCCCCCTCAGACCTGTACAACTTTTTGTAAACACGTTTCTTTCATTATACCTTAAATATTTGGATGCCTCTTTCCCTTATGAGATATTTCTAGAATAGGCTCATGGTTTATACAGATTGAACATGACTATAAATTTGAATATTTAAATGGAATCACATATCTAGCTCAAGTAGATGTTCATAAATATGTGATCAATGAATGTATTGATTGATAGAAAAGATGGGTGGACAAATAGAAGGATGAAAGAGTGATTTGATAAATGGATGGATGAAAGTAAGGAAAAAATGAATATATAGATATACCAAAGGAATTAGGATGAAAAGAAGGAATGACAGCTGAGTGGAAGGAAAGAATAATAGGTATTGAATGGAAGGGTGTAAGGATAAAGAATGTATGTATGTATGCATGCATGTAAAGATGGTTAGATGAATGGATGGCTGGTTGAATGGTTGGTTGGATGGGTAGATGGACGAAAAGATTGAAGAGTGGATGGAAGGAAGATGGAAATATGGAAGAAAGGAAGAAACAGAGAAAGGATGAATGGATGAATGGAAGGAAGAAAGGAAACAGGAAAAGATAAGGAGAAAGGATGAATGGAAGGAAGAAAGGAAACAGGAAAAGATAAAATGATGGATGATAGATGGATAAATGGATGGTTGGCTAGAGGGAAACAAGAATGTAAGTGAAGATAGGAGGCAGGATGGGAGGAGGGTTGAGTGAATGAATGAATGCTTAGATGTGATTCACATGGAACTCAAGCAAATGATGGATGATAGATGGATAAATGGCTAGAGGGAAACAAGAATGTAAGTGAAGATAGGGGGCAGGATGGAAGGATGGTTGAGTGAATGAATGAATGCTTAGATGTGATTCACAGGTAGATGTGACAGTTTTTATGACACTGGTCAGCTTTCTCACAAGGCAGCCTGGGGCTCCCAGGTCATCTCTGAAGCTGGTCCCAACTGCCGATCTGGTACATTAGACCTTAGATAATAAACTAATCATCTATTTGTGATTATTAAGAAAAACTGGAATGCGAGTTAGTTCAGCAGACTCAAGGGCGTGTCAGAGGGTTTAAGCAGCCTGCCTAGGTCATAGCCAGTCCTGAGATCATCTGCCTCAAACCCAGTCTTCTAGTTCCCTCCAGGGCTCTGCATTCTACTCTTTAATTTGCTCAAATCTCCTCCCTGGAGGCTGTTCTGAGTGGTGCCAGCCTGTCCACTAACCTGGGGAGAGCTTCTTCATGGAACAAATGAGAAAAGGAAATGACCTCAACCGAAGGTTGAGGCTGGGGAGGCCTGAGCAGCTGCCCTTTCACACCAAACGTCACCCTGGGCACATTCCTGAGCAGGAAGAGAGAATGTGGTCCAGTGCCAGCTTCTAGGCACCCTGCCAGGGCCATGGCACAGAGAAGGTTTGGGCGGCATTAGAGCGTCTGGGTGTCCAGAGAACCCTCGGGGGAGGTGAGCGGGGAGTCAGGGTGCCCCTCACTGAACCCAGAGCAGGGTCTGAGCGCGGAGGAGTCTGTAGCCCCTCTACCCCGGCCCCCCACCTCCGTCCTCTGTGGTCAAGGTCTGAAGGCTGCACCTCTACCTGTGTCTCCAGCCTTGTCCCCCTGGTAGCACTCACTGCTCTCTCTCTTCGTTCTTCACCATGGCCTCCATCATGAAGTTTCCAGAAGATGCCTGGACACCTGTGGTTCCCACACGCCGTCTACTGCTCTCTTCTTCGTTCTTCACCATGGCCTCCATCATGAAGTTTCCAGAAGATGCCTGGACACCTGTGGTTCCCACACGCCGTCTTGGGTCCCTGCGTCCTGGTGTGGGTGGCAGTGACCCAGGAGAGCTGTGCTAGGGGTGGCATTTGCTCTTTCCCCTTCCCTGCTCAGTCCCTGGGACACCGGGGGTGACCTCCCTGGACTTCCATCTTCACCCTCTCACGGAGACCCCTTGAAGCCCCCTGAGGGGAGGGGCTTAGGTCTCTAACACCCAGACATGGACCCAGCACCCAGGGCAGGAGGGGTCAGAGAGGTCATTGAGATTCTGGAAGGTCCCATGAGAGGTAAAGCCTTCCCTTCTTTTTAGCCTCTCTATTTATCTTTGCAGGTCCGGCTGCTTCTCCTCAGCCCCCC